AACCATTGATTGGAGTTATAAATTTACGCTCCTAATATAGCCATAGGAGTATAATATAATAAATTTCGTAAGTATTATGACAGTAAAATAAGCGACTGATAGTGATATAAATACGGTGTTATGAGGAAGTCGCGTCTTGAAATCTCGAACTATTAGTATTAGTATTAAAACCCTGAAATGAAAGTTGAAGTTCATGCTCGTACTGGTAGGTATAATATGGTGTTTAGGGAGATCCTCCCCGAGAGAGCAATTACCCTGCAATCCAGACAGAAATGATAATCCCAACTTCCACTATTTATGTTCACTTACATTGGATAGTACCAGCTCGGTGCAGGCTTCGTCAGAGATCACGTGACTATAGTGCATATATCACTTTGTCACTGCGTGATTCACTTACAGACAGTGGACTTAAAGAGCCGATTGAATGTGCACTATTATCCCTAACATGGCAAGCCATTGACTACTTGATTGCTCCATTTGCTACCTTCCTTAACTATCGTGCCTCAGATTTACGTGTATTGAAAACATTTTCTGTTGCTTCCGAAATACAATAAAATGCTACAAATTTGGGGTTTCAGTCTGTTGTGAGCCAGTTAGTGGCTGTTTAAGGTTTTGATCCTAAAGTCACTGTTTTTAATTATCAACAAAAAAATGCTTTCCAGTTATTAATATTAAGATTTACCTTGGGAATGGGCCAGAAATTTGTTTGTTTTCTGAACTTCCAGTTCCAATAGTATAACACAAACATACTACAATTAACTTGCCGAAGCCCGAAACTAGATCGATTTTCTCTGAAGTCTGAAGTGGGTTGTCAGATAGCAGGGCAAACTCGAGTTACCTATGGCCAAAAAGCATAGTACCTATTTCTTAAAGTATTTTGATATCAAAATGTTCCCCATATCATCTGGAATTTACCAACTAATAGCACTATAGACATACCGAAATAGAACACTGCAACAAACACGAAACTATCATCAACAAACTCAACACAACTCACATAAATAACGGAGGAACAGCATGATTGCATCTTCTTGTTTTGAACAGGACTGTAGTCACACCATTCGCAAAGCTGACCCTCAGCCTGAGGGTAAGACATTACCAATCTATTGCACAACTATTACTAAGAGGGCATTAATTTCGAGACTATTACCACAAATAACCTCTCCTTTATTACGAAATTTTTGCCAACTAACAGTAACACATCACCACAACAGTCAATTTCGCAACACTCACTAAACGCCTTATAAGGCGCCTGAGAAATTGGATCAAGCCGAACTGACCTAGACCGCCCCTCGTCACTACCATTCGAACCATCCTCTCCTTTTTGTCTCTCAACCTGGGCCAAATTTGTTACTCCAGTACATTTGCATCACTTTATAATTTAGTTTTTTAATAGACTCTCCGTCGCGTTACCTGACCATACAGTTTAATGTTCGCTACCATGGCTGGGCGCTCCTTTACTTCGTTGCACTTGCCCTAGCCGGGTTGGGGGCTGATGCGTTTATTGCTCAAGATTGCCGGTCTATGATGCTTACGAACATAATATCCTTATATATATAATGCTATCGCCTATCAGTAATATTATTTCACTGTGATACCCACTAGCAAATATTCGGATACTACTGAAACTCTGCAAAACCCTCCAGCTATTGATTTAACCCCCAAAAAACGTTGGTGTATAAAAAATACCTATTCATTAGTCACTGAGCAACATATGACCTAGACTTTTTATTTATTTCGAGTCAAATGTTTTCTTTTCTGTCTCGAGAGACAAAAAAGTCCAGAAACTCAACAATGTTCCTATCAAATGTTAGCAAAACGGACACACAGTTTCCGGCAATTTTTTCCAAAGGTGAAGGTTATATGTTCTTCAATAAGTGATAAGTCGTATATATATATACGAGTTAATTAATTAATAAAACATGCATATTCGGTTTCGTTTGGACCCATTCCGAAGTATTTCATATCTACCCCAAAACCCAAACTCGTTTACCATTCGTGGTTCGGTATTCCCTCTGATAAACCTTTTTCAAACCTCAAGTAGATGCAACAATTAATCTATAGTACAACAAGATTGAATACTTGATCCGAGATTCGCATTTCAGGTATAGTCGTGAGTTGACCATAATCGAGGATCACCAGTTACGTGAAGTAAATGTCTTAATGAATTAAAAAAATTCCAATGTATATTAAAAATAGTATCGCTAGCAGAATGTTGTAAAAGATAAAGGCAAACATCAGATGCATTTTGCTAAGTGCATCTATCATAATTACCGAAATAATTGCCAACCTTGCAGAACATTGCTTCTAGTATTCATGTGAACTTCGAAAATCGTCTGTCTCTATGTCTTTCAGTCCTAATCAAGCATCATTATCATGACTATATACCCGAATTTCTCTGGGACGAATCATTAAATGGATTGATGAGCATCCTAGTGCTGCTCTCTGACAATTCCAGTTTACCCGCAGTTAGTAACCTCACATAATCGTCTTAGCGATACAATGAGACAAAATGGTGTCTTATTACGGGGGTCCCCAAGTTGTAAATTAACGTATCCTTGCAAGAAGGTTGCACCAACAGTAACTCGTCCTATATCATACCAATGGTGGGTTGCTATCGAAGTTATAAGCAAGCTGCTAATAAATGTATCAACAACCTATATGTAGTAAGCATGCACGATTTCGTTGACGTTAGTTGCTTTGATAACCTGATTTTGATTAATTTTGGATTGCTATAAGACAATTATGCATGAATTTATGATCAATATACTCGCTATGACCAACTTGATAAGTGTCACTAAACCCACTAGCAAAGCTCCAACCATGAAATCCATTCCTAAAATCATTAAAGTGTGAAATGAGGACGGTTCTGCCTCTCAGACGATCAAACAGTTTTTGTTACGGGCCATTCTTATCATTTGACCCGTTTAATGAGGGAGTTTCATATGTTGACAAGTAGTATTCGAATTTCGTTGATTTTAAACTTTCGCTTGACACACTCAATTTTCTTGGATACACTAATCCATTGCTCACAAATCCGGAAAGGTTTGATTTACGCACCTTCAGAGTCTCAGTGTCTTGAGGTGAAAGCAATTGTGCCTTTCACAGACAAGCAATAGGACATTCTCTAAATTCAACCACCCATATATGTACTATTGAACCCCATGTGTGCGTCTGAACACAATCAAACTTCAGTTAAGGCGTAGACGAAGCCTACTCGCTAGGTCTACGGCGGGCCATGTCAATGTATCTTCTGGTGTCTCCTCACATTCGAGCCATTGAGATCAAGCTCCGAGCCGCAAAGAGGCATATGGGTTTCGTGTTTCAGGATCTCCTCTCAAATGTCTTCACGCTATTACCAAATCAATCGTTCGACGTCGATTGAGTTATTTGCGGCATTGGAACCTCAAAATATCAGCGCTTTTCCCAACGAACTGGGATTAGTTACAGAAAGATTCACCCCAAATAGCATGGAATGAGCTCGCTTCCACTACTGGGATCTGTTGCATCTATCTCTATGTCTCTACCGCAGCGCGTCGAGTCTTCATGTACATATTGAAAACCCAGGATAAGACGCCACCACTCAATGAAACAAACGTTCTAATCCACCCCACGCTTTGGAAACACTGCAGTTAAATTCCAGTCAAAAGTTAGAAGTGAACGTTCCAACCAAACTATTGTTAAATCATTTGCAGTTAAGGGACCTAAATTTGGATCTCCCAACAATCTAATCATCAAAATATCTAGAAACTTCTCAAAGATAATCATCCAAAAGTTCAAGTGTGTCTCTCCCTGATAAGTCGCCGGACCGAGTCATGTTAGTACTCGTCGAACTAGACTTATGTTGTGTTGCCAAGCGGCGGACTCTATGCGTCTTTGGGGTGGTTAAATGGAAAATGGGTAAGTTTTGACGGAATACTAACAGTAGGCTAAATTGGAAGGCAAATCTCCCAAGCAAAGACCGTTAGTTTTGACAATATCGTGTTTAGGTTAATCCAGAATGAACGTCCTTTTCAAACCTATTGAAATTTTATAAAAATTAAAGTAATATAACAACATACGATTTAAATATTTCCAGTTTTGGACAATTTGCTAGTTAAGTCAAGGATAAGTTGATATAATTGATATCAGTTTAAATTGTATCTTTCCCAATAAATCTAATAAAAAAACAAATTGTAACTGTGAGTGACAGTGCAAAGACAATATGTTGCAAAGCATTATTATAGTTTAGATGGACTAAAGCAAAATTAACAATAAATCATCCGTACAGTGTTTCGAATATTCCAAAGTTCCTATTAAAAGAACCAATGCATTCTATATATCATGTGAAAATTAAATGTCATCTCCTGTTCTTATAGTCTTATCTGTATCGTAATACAGCAGCATTATCAATAACTTATCTACCTAGAATTCTCTAGCAGGATACCCGAATCTTGTTGCAAATGGATTGGTGAGGATCGTGTCGTGTCTCTCTTGATAGGATTGCTTTCTGTTTCATCACCGCAGGTTGATAACCTCTACATTAATTTCTTGTTTTATTTGCGGTACTCCACAGAGAATGAGACAATATGAGTGTCTATACGGTGGTCACCCCAACAGATTGTGAATTAATGAATCCTTGCAGTTCGGTTTGACCCTACTAGTACTCTTGGTTTGCTGATCATACAATTGGTAGTCGCCTTGCTCCAACTTCTTGATTATATTTTATAAGCACAGCTTTCCTTAAAGTTAAAATGTAACATCAAACATGATATGTATTAAGTTGCATAGAATATCGTTTGTACGTAAAGTTCGTTTGATATAAGGCCTTGATTTTAAATTAATTTTGGTTGCTATAAGACCAGATTGAGTGCATGACACTATTGCTAAAACACGTGATCGTCTCCAGACTCAACACATTAATAACGTTCACTAACCCACTACAAAGATTCCTGATACCAACACATGAAATAACCACTGTGACACAGGTAAAATGAACATTTTTGACGGAGTGTGGTAAAATGAACGGGACCGAGGATCTACTGCCGCCTCTCGAGGAGAGTTCAGGACACATCTTTAGCCTTACCAAGACCATTCTTATCATTTTACTGATCCTGGTCTTCATTGAGGGTAGGTCATTCATTATTTTGACAAAGTAAGTAAATATCGAAGTTCAGATTGCCCATTTTAAACTTTCGCTAGCACAACCAATCTCTTGGACACACTAATAAAAAACCATCTCTCCACAGGAATCACGGGAAATGGGTTTGTTATTCACGCGACCTTCAGAGTCCAGGTGTTTAGAGTGGACAGGAGCACTGTAGCTTTCATCAGACATCTAGCAATCACGGACCTTCTCTACATCATCCTCAACATCCCACCCCTCGTACTCTTCATCGTCACTATGACCCCCGGACCCGGCGTCTTGGAGACCAACCTTAAACTTCAGGAGGCGGTAGACAAGGCCTGCTACGTGTTTGGTAACGCTCACGATGCCATGGTCCACTGCAATGTTATCTTTATCCTGGTGATCTCCATCAACAGGTTCCTGAGGTGCATGAAGCCACTCCAGATCTCCGTGATGACCTCCCGGCAGGAGGCGTGGTGTTTGGCCGGGTTCTGGGGAGTTGCCCTCGCTCCTTCTCTTGCTAAGATATGTCTTCAGGCTGCTACCGTTCTACCAGTCTACCATTTCGAGTCCCAGACTGCTCGATGTGAGTTCAGTTTGACCGGAAGTTGGGAAACCTACAATCTCATATCCATCTGCACTGCTTTCTCCCTTATCACACTCTGCAATCTGGGCCTCCTTATTCTCAGTCTCAACAGACAATCCAGACTTCTCACCAAACGCATGCGGAGGATGAAGCTTCAGGCTTTTCTCATCACTGGAGGAATCTCTTGCATTTTCATCATGTCATGGCTACCAGCTGTCGCGTCGAGTCTGTTGTCATGGTTACAATTGCAAACACCGATGGAGCTAAAGTACGCCACACACCTCTACATAATCAACACTTTCTCAAACCCCATCCTCTACGCTTTTGTGAATACTGGCTACTTCAAATTCCTCCAGTTCAAGATCAAGTTTATGAAGCTGAAGTTCCAGACCAAGCTGATAGGATTAATGTTGCAGTTAAAGGGCGTCACAGGTTCTGACTCCCAAGCAGACGCCTAACTCAAAACACTATTCCCTTTTTAGAAACCTCCCTCACTGCAACAACAATCATCCATAGGTCAAGGTGTGTATAACAATAGCCCATATAACAGTCGCTTCCGGACGGGATGTACAATAGTTTAGTAACTTGTGGAACTAATGATTATGTTTTTGTACCAAATTGCCGGCGACAATATGGCGTGCTTTCGTGCTGATTTTTTAATGGAAAAATGTGAATTTTATGTGAATACTAATAAGTGGCAATAAATTTGAAACAAATTTCAACCATAAGACCCCTTATTTTAATTCGATTGTAGGTCAACCAAGAATGAACGTCCCAATTTCAAATATCGTGAAATTATTATAAAAATTAAATAATATAACAAAATATCTTTAATATATTTCTCTTTTGAACAATCATTAAGCTAGTTGAGTCAAGGATAAAGATAATAATTTATAATCATATCAAATTTCACCTCTTGATCCAATAAAATCTGCAAAAATCATGAAATAAATAACTTGGTAACTTGTCGAGTGACAGTGCAAAGACTGACAATAATGGTGCAAAGCATATCATACAGACTTTAGTAATGGCTGTACAGAAAAATAATTCAAAACTCAGTCCGGTCACATGGTTTCGAATTGTTTGAAAATGGTTCCTACTTAAAAAATGACTACATCAACATGCAAAAATTAATTATGATAGAAAGTAACTGAAACGTAATGATTTCGGAATATCATAGACATATAAGATTGTCGATAGATAGGGAGACTTTAGAAGTGGTAGCCCTATTACGGTTTCCAGTAACAATGTTGTTGATAAACTGTGCATTCTTTGTTATCTCAGGAATGTAGCTTCACACGGAGCTGTTTTGTACATTTGATGACAATCTTTTGCTCCTTTCACCGGTGGTCACCACCTGATAATATCACCATCTCTCATCTCCTAAAGTAAAATACAGAGCGTACCCTCACAGCGCCCTATGCTACACCTTAACAGGATCAAAAGCAGCTGAGTCAGAGTTATCGAGGCCCACATCAGCAATATAACTGAACTGATTAGCTAGGTCTCTGTATCCCTTGTCCTGGAGAGCCTCCCGCAGCTCCTCGCTAAACCTACACCCGTAGTTAAACAGCTCGTAGAGCGCTGAACGCCTGCGGAGGGTGGTCTCTGTTTTGTTTTTAGTGAAAGCAGCGTCTACCTCAGCCTCAGTGACGGGTCGGCAGGTCGTGATCTCCCCGTAGAACTCCCGAACGTGCTGTTTGTAGGTTGGGATCTCTTTACAGTAGAGGAGACGTGAGGATTGGGAGGACTTGTCTATCGTCATGTCTTCGTAATAGGTCGCATCTGATGAGAAGTGGAATGTTCAATAAACTATACAGCACATATATTAGTATTACTGGGCTAAAATAAGTTATTGTGCTAAAATTTGTAATTCCTGATATAATAATAATAGTAAATAATAAATATAGTAAATCAATCTTTTTATCAAAATACCAATCAAAGAGAGTACAGTAGACGAACCGATAAAAGTCTGGGCGATGACTGACAGGCAACTGTCAATGTTATTGTTCTTTCGGACATCAAACACTACGTCGGGTGACTTTATAATGCTGATCCAGTAGCGTAGAGGTAACGCGTTATTCTTCCACGTGTGCAACACCTGATGTCACATGTTGTTACAAGTTGTGCACGAGTTATTATAAGTAGCAGATGATATTCTATTATCTGGAAGTGGAGGGGGCTAAGCATAATTCGTGAATGAATTTTCGTCATAAAAATTACTAAAAAATTGATAGATTCACTCAATTGGGACTCAATTTTTTGTCCACGAATGTAAGCAATCTTAGTTCATATTCATATTCTTGAGTTACGTAAATGAGATTTGGACAAAATTCGATAATTATCTAACATTTGATGTGCACACCAGAAAGACATACCTCAGGATCGTTTATCTGTAGTCTGGCGGCTTCAGAGTCTAAGAAATCCATCAAGTATTTTACACATGGTGGGAGAGCAGTGATACCCTCATTTGGTGTAAATATTACATTGAACAAGTCGTCCACGAACTTCTGAAGAGGTATTTTAGTTGCAGAAAGTCGAGTGAGGAATACTTCTGGAACCGTTTTGACTCCTGTCATCCCTTTCCCGTCTGATTCGTTGTCAACCTCCCGTTCAAGATGCCACACCCGACCGTTTTCTATTTCTCGAAGGAGAGAATTGCAACTGAAAATGTCTCTCTTTTAAACTTTGTTCATTTCGCGCGGAAGTGGTTAAGTTAATGAATAAAAGTTATGAATCATTACAACGAAGAGTTATTCGAGTATTTCTACTATGAGGCATGAGCTTATTTGGTAAAAATCTTCGATATATCGTAATCATAATTTGTGTCTGGTAATGATCAGCAAAAATTAATTCAGTTTTGACGTTTCCTAGGACGGTTATCCCCTCAGAAATTCGCACGACTTAATGACAGTAATTTAAAAGTGGTCATAAAAACATAATGGGCATTGAAATGGACTATGAGAAATCATTGAGAGTACCCAATTTAGGAAATCCCGACTCCTCAGCCATTTTATCAATTTGTGTTAATTCCAGTTCGAGTGAAGACTCGACATTTATAACACCCTGTCAAGTTAAATATTAGATGAATCTGATCATGAATCTAATCATTCAATTATATGCACGTATTTTACGCTAGTACTTGTCGTATTTAAGAGGATATTGACCTGGGAGCACCACCACTCTGCGACATAAATGGAGGGGGAGATTGTCTGGGGATACATTGGAACACAGCCTGGTCGTCTATATTGAGGCTCCCCAGCGTGTCTAGCTGCTTCCACCCGTCCTGGGGTTGTGGAATTTCATTTAAAAAGGTTTAAACTAGAGTCTTTGCCACTGTGATATTTCAAAAAGGAAGATAATCCCCGGTAATCTAGTAAATAGTCCTCATTACCTGGGTGTTGTGTAACATATCCACCAGTCTGAGGGAGGAGGAGCTCCCATTCTTCCACTCTACATCTACATCATTAGGGGTGGGTTTTAGAGAGTCGGGTACTGTGCGGTACATGGCATCTATTATCTTAGCTTTAGCTTGAGAGATGGTGTCACATGACAGCAATGAAACCTGGGTATAGGGTGTTGGGAGAAACTATTCTTCAATATTAACAAGTTCTTCCTATATTTCATGTTAACGGCATTTAATCGAGATACACAGGTGAACAACAATATTGATAACTTGTGGTGAAGCTAAATCCCCAACCTGGCAGGATTTGAGTGGAGTGTAGGGAGTATCCTTGAGGTAAGGATCATCCTCCAGATAGACCATTACATTGAGTTTGTTAAAGTCGGTAATCCTACTGAGCAGGTTCTTCTCATGTAGGGCGTAGCGGGCGTTACCCGTGATGTAGTCCACTGGACCCTTCTCGATCTGTGATAATGTTGATTAGTTTAAAAGTTTATTTGTTCAGTTCTTTTAGATCTCTTTCTCATTAATTTGGTAAGGGCAATAAGGGTGTCCACTGTCCGGATGTGTGGCGATTAATCATAGATCATTTATCAGTAAAAAGACTGCTCGGAGATAGTTCACGTTTGTAGATGTCACAAACCCAATGATGGTAGTAACCTCTTAACAGAGTAAATGTTGGAAGAATAGTTGCTATTTGTGGATACTGGATATACATGTAGTCCAGTGCGACCCAGTCTAACATTACTGACTACCTCTTTACATTGCATTTGCTACACAGTCAAAAGCCAATAATCTAGTTTTCAAGAGCCCCCAGGGACACTGCAAGTGATCTTTGCAACATGTTAACAATCCCACTTCTACTACCATTACCAGGGGGAGGAGGTTAAGAAAAAATAGAGTGGGTGGATCGTAATGATTTGAACGTGTAAAAGATACTGATATCCAGTTCCAGGTCGTGTAAACTGAATGTTAACACAGCTACCTGTTGTTTGTTAACACAGCATGTTAACACAGCTACCTGTTGTTTGACACGTTAACACAGCTACCTTTTGTTTGACATGTTAACACAGCTACCTGTTGTTTGACATGTTAACACAGCTACCTGTTGTTTGATGTACACAACATGTTAACACAGCTACCTGTTGTTTGATTATACAGCATGTTAACACAGCTACCTGTTGTTTGTTAACACAGCATGTTAACACAGCTACCTCTTGTTTGACATGTTAACACAGCTACCTGTTGTTTGACATGTTAACACAGCTACCTGTTGTTTGATGGCTCTGTACAGCACGTAGAGAGGTTGTCCTGCAGACTCCACCAGGAACGAGTGAAGGTTGAAGGTCAGCCAGTTACTCAGGTATTTCTCAGTAATGTGCTCTGAGCGGCGCAATAACAGCTTCATACGCCGCGCATCGTTATTCACAGTGCTGAGGAGGAGGATAATTGTGTAATAAGTGTTTGCCAAGTAACGCTTGAGAGCGGGACATTGTGAGCATGGAATGTATGGTTCAAAATCAGGAGCAATTTCAATTTGAAAATCTTAGCTCATCACTCACTCTTCAATAAGTTTAGAGAGGAGTTGCTTTAATATGGAGGTGATATAACTCATGTCATCCATCAGAGACACAATAATGAGAGCAGCAATGTTGCTCTTGTCTCTTTTTGAGACTTGTCTCTGTTTGTCCAGTGTCTCGACCAGGGTTAACAGGAACTCCTCTTGTTTGATGAGTTTCTCGAACACAACAAGACTCTCCTCGTAGGTGGCCAGATCTGCAGGGTCCTGGAGGACCGGGTAGTCGTCTTGCGCTGAGGAGACCAGAGTGAGACATTGAGACATTGAGACAGAGAGGCGCTGCTCATCAGCTACCATATAAATGGCACAATAATGTTATTAAACATTCACGTCAGTTATATTCAATATTCACAATAAAAAGTATTTAAAAGTCGTCAATAGATAAGGACCTGGGAAGAGAACTTTGAGAGCGTACTCATCAAATGAATGGTATGGAATAGTAGCAGGACTGAAGTCACTGTTCAGATCAGCCAGGTCTGTTTGCAATTCTGTGAACACTTGTTTACACTCCTCCGCAAGACGCACCTCTATCTTCTCCATCTCCTGTTAAATTGTGGTAATCATGGTAACCGTTGTTGTGGGCTGTCGTGACAACAGCAGCGAGAATTAATTGTGGAGATGGAAACGAACGGGTAAGGGAGGGGGTGGGATAATAGCGAGCACGTGTAACTCACATGTAACATCAAGTGTTTAACTGTTTCTTCTGTTGAACTCTCCTCTTGTGAAGGAGACAGACGAGTCCGAGGAGAAGTATCACGACTATACCTCCAGCAGCACAGGCCCCCACTATCCCTATTATATTACCCTTTATTGGGATCTCCTTGATAAAGGTGCCAGGTATGGGATCTGATCTGAAGTTTCCTAAAACCACCTGAGTAGGATATAGACGGTGAGAGGGATGTATAATTTGAAATTGTAGGATTATGCAGTGTAGGTTTTAGTGAGGAAGTGCAATTCTTGCAGGGCCCTGCATATTTTATTTGAAATTAGATGCTGGGCCTCTGAATATTTTTGATTTTAATGCCCTAGGTGCGGCTGATGTTTAATATAATAATTTTAACTGTAGCTAATAATTTTAACTGTTGCTTGCGTCAGCAATATGTCGGTGCCAGTTGAAACTTCTAATTCATATTAGTGATATTTATTTCACGATAATCACGAAGTGACAGGGTGATCTAACAGAAAATGAATATATTAACAAGATCGCTTTTAAATATTAAAACAGGTAAGTGAATATTGATGCTCAATCGTAGTTTTGGTATAGTTAAGGGGGCCGGGGGGGGGGGGGGGGGTCTTCATCAAAATTCTCTCGAAATTGACTTTATAGTTGTTTCTGGTAGAAGGGAGTGATATCTACCAGCTGCTTTTGGTCCCATGGAAAAATATTGTTCCTAGCCGAAATTATCGCCAGTCTAAGGTCAGCGCTTATGTGTAATTGTATTGCGCGAGCGATTTTCAATCGCAAATTCTGAAAATCGAGTCTAAAAATCTATCTTCTCCTACATTTTATGAGTAATCACCCTGAAACTTTCAGGATATGTTCTAAGAGCCATTTAGAAGAGATCGTTCAAGCCAAAATTTTGAGATAGGCCTTTAAAAAATTTTTATTAATTTTTGAAAATCTTGGACCTGAAAAAATCGTAAAAAAACTCTTCATCAAAATTAAGGGGGCCGGGGGGGGGCCCCCCCCGGCCCCCTTAAACCACAGCTTTAGTTCACCTACAATCTAATTACCGTAATATTGATGCTTCTGGAGATAACATTCTTGTCGTCGGGAGGAGATTCCTCGCCCGTCGTCGTCTGTCGCCGCCGCCGTGTGGTGATATCTTCTGGAGCTGGAGCTAAAAGATCGGGCACGTCGCAAGTCAGGATCGTGTCGGACACGTCCAGACCCAGGCATTCTGTCTCGTTCAGCAGAACTTTTATCCCTTTCACTCGGTCAAAATATCTACCCTGCAAATTTGTAATATTAAATGGTTACTCTTAAAAGCAAATATCGTTTCATATTTTAATAAAGAATATGACACGACGAATCAGACACCTATCGCCATAATTACGGAGAACATGTCACATTTGTGGCGTGCAGCATTTTATTTTATATAATGATAAAACTTTGCTATTAAATATTGCTATTGGATCTCACCTCTGTAATAAATCTTAGTGGGGCAGATAATTTATTCAAAATGGCTCGCCTTCACCATCGAATAGATTTTATGATTGTTCTTGTCAGTAAGAACTATAATTACTACTATTTCTCATTAATTAAAGCCAATGCCCTTTAACCAAGAAAAATTCGAATTCGTGTGATTACTTGAGGTTTTAACCGGGGTTCCGCCGATAGCGGTAGCCAATAAATTTGATTTTAAAGATAATGTCGCTTTCCGAAAGACACCAGAAACCGCACCACTACATTGGCTAGCCTAAATTACTTCAGAATTTTATTTACCGCCAGCTTAGCGTTTGGGTAGCGTTCAGCGACGTTAAGAGGTCAAGAAGTTGGTAAACTGGTCTGGTTTCCGCTATCCCAGACGCAGTTTGCTTAGAGAGGTTAGGTTGTTTAACATGGTTAGAAAATGAAGCCCTTAATCATTACCCTAATGCTATCATGCGAGCTCGGGAAGGAAGGCACCTTTATTGAGCTGAAGAGTAGGTTTTCGGTTCCAACGCGTTAACAACATAACGCAAAAAAATAGGAGGCAATTCCTTCCTGAGAATATTAGAATATTCTCTTGGTCGCAGTACTTGAACACCACAGTGGATTAGACAGATTATATTTTAACAATAATAATTACCGATATGACGAGTGGCTCCCCCGCAGAGAGGGAAGTGTCCATACCCTCCAAATCTATGACAGGGTTTGGATAAACAGTGAAGACGATGTTTTGCAGAACTGTTGTGTAATAATCTTCCAGGACCAGAGAAATATCAACTCGCTTTCCTTCGTCGCTTATGTTGACTGATTTAGCAATGGCTGGAGTGGTACAAACCATCGAACTGTCAGAAACAGTAGGCATGGGGAGACACTGAAAATAGAAAGGGTGGAATAATCAATCCTTTGATTCGTTTTACCAGCAGAAATCATATCTTATTAACTGAGCGTTCTCAACACACACACACACACTAGTTTTTGTAATTATATTAGCCGAACTTTGAATACAGGAACGACCGTCAACGACTACAAGAATTCAGTTCACAGATTGTAATGAAATGTGGGAGCAGTCAATATCGTGTAAATATTTGTTGCTCTCTAGGGTGTAGGCGATGAAACAAAAGATCGTACCGTAGTGTTCTCGGAAAGCACAGTGGAATCATCAGTGTAATAAATCTTCGCTGAGGTAATAGCTGTAAACCCTCGAGTACCCGTTAATGTTACGTTTATGCCACCCCTGTAGGATGTAGTTTGACTTAAAAGAGATGTAAGGGATCGAAGTAATACATATAGTTAAGGCCCTTACAAAGAGATGACGTTAGGTCATTGTAATCGAATTTCAGGAATGGGATCATAATTTTTTGTCGAGATTGGCGCTGTCCGCGCGCGCAAAATGTGCGATTTTCCGATGCTGAAATCAACTTGCTACAAATCTACGGCATTGATTTTCGCGCGTTCCATACAAGTCCGTGATGAAATAGGATGGGTAACTTTGACTCAAATTTCACTTACTCTCTCACGGTGTCCATTGGGAAAACTTTGACAATTTCAGGAACATCGATAAATGTGAACTTCTCGACACTGATATACTGAGCATTGTCTATATTAACAGCGACCTTCCCTTCCATCTGAGCTCCGTCTTCCAGAGGGATTGTACGACACCTAATCGTAGCGCTGAAGGATATAATGAGATTGTTAGAGCCGGTAAATTGTTGCCCCCTGGGGCGGCACTATACAATAGAGTACATGGAAGGTCCTGATTAACAGCAATTATCGGATGACATACCGGGGTTGGTCTGATGGTCCGTGTAGCATTTAGCAGAGTTACCTCTCCTTATAGTCAGCCTTGTGTAGAAGCACACATATTACCGTATAATTTTCTGACATAATATGAAAACAGTGGCAGTTTAAAAAGTCAAGAAGAGAAGCTTACCCCTTTGAGATGATCTGACAGGGATTTCCCGACAATGTAATGTTCATCTGCGCTCCCATGTCTAGCTGCGAGCCTGAAGCAAAATATTTCTGTTTTCTAATGTTAAGTCATTAATTTTAGTTATCCGTTATTCGATGAGTAATCAATACTCTCCTAAGGTGCAAACTTGTTAAGAACAGCCGTGTAATGTGATTAATTTAACACAGGATATAGTGAGAATTATTATATTTCCTTTAGCAACTTTAATAGATTACACATAGAGTACAGTGATAATTGAGGACTCCATGATCAAGTATGCGAACAAGGAAATAACCTAAGACACCACAAATTACGTAACATTTCATAACTTAACTGGGAAATGATTAATTATCGAATCTTTAGGATTTTCATCAATGTTCAGGTCATCAATTAGGTATCCAATATCTTATCTCGCATGACCATTGTCCACTAAAAACAAATCACGCATAACAATGATGTCTGACCTGATATATCAACAGTAGTGCCACCAGTTTTCAGTACAACCAAGGGGGTAACCTTAGAAATGCTCGCTTCTCGGTAACTGAAAGTGGAATCAGAGACAACTCTTCCATTAATACTGTTGAGAACTACTCGTCCTTCATCCGGTCTGGATACAGCTCTGGTTGTACAGGTTACTCTGAAGAGGTGTTTTTTATAGTTTATGCGGTGCAATGTCTTAGTCTGGGCTATTAATAGCCTTCAAATATCTCCATTTTAAAAGTTTTTTAATACCCCATGGATTATTAGCATAAAATTATTAATTTCCCAGAAATTTAAAAACCTGAGAACTGTGGATATTGGAGTATTGCTCACTAATTGAATTACACATATTACCTGGTTGATACTCTGTATCCAGAATCCTCAATGTCACAAGGTTGTCCAGCAACTGTCATGTTCTTGACATCACTAAACTGAATGCTGAGGTCGGTTCCCTCAACCGTCAGCAAGGTTCCACCTTTCAGAGGTCCTCGTTTTGGGTATGTCTGAAAAGTGTAGTTTTAGATGTTGAGGATAATATTATATTAATTAGGGACAGTGCAGCTACTCAGCATTTTATTTGTTAACAAGGAGGAATCCTTTTTGCAGTTTTTTTCCCCCAAAAATTTGAAACATAATACACATAAAGCTGTGGGATCGAATTTCAAATATGTAACGTTGTGTAATGTGTTCCGATACACAGCAATTAAATATTTATGGACCTTTGTGATAATATGTAAGCATATACATATATTATGTAACCATTTTGGTTTTATTCTATAGTTTTGCATCATTAATTAAATGGGCAAGATGGCATTATAGAGCTTGTTAGTGCTGTTATCGCCTTACCGCTATAAACGTGTTTTGCCACAAGCGACGATAGAAAATGTCTAAAATCAGTAACTTCGCATTTCAAAGCACTAAATACACTCACACCCTGACAGTAGTTTGTGCGGCAAAGCGAGTGCTTTTACATGTTTTTGTTACAACTTTCCTTATAAGTGTGTCCTCTGAGAGGACTACAGAAAAATATAAATGCTTGTAATGTTGCCCCACTGCACGGAAATCTTTAGTAAAAGGCGAAAGATTTATTCGTGATGCAATGAGACCAAGCTAACCTGAACATTGTTGAGCAGAACTATATATAACATACCAAAATATTTCCTTGTGTTTCACATTAAACACAAATTGTACGATTTCTTCCTCAAAGATTACTCTCTACCGAATGCCCGGAAAACTTCCTTGTTCAGTCAAAACATTAGTAATAAATGCGGTTACAGAATTTATAAGCGCAATTATCCTATAATGATCCGAATAACGAATAAGTTTGTCCTATGTTCGCATGTAACTCATATATAATAACTTTAGACATTTAAACCTCTCACCAAATTAGCATAATCACCGAAAGTTGCACTGAAGATACTTCTACGAAACCGTACAAACTTTTAAAGATAAGGATATTTGATACCAAACATTTCCAGTTACCATTTTCTGTTACCTCCTCACAGAAAATACTGAGATCCGAGATCGTACCATCTGACCGAGTGATCACTGTGACCACTGTGTGATAAAATCTAAATGTGGTGTTTTACAAACGCTTCAGCATGTGGTTGTATGGTGAAGAAGAGTGCTACAAGTTTGCAGCAGCTAGATTGGGAGGTTTCCTTGCGTTCTCATGTCAACACTACCGTTCAGAACGTAGCGCTTCTCTTTGACAAGTTCAGTGCACTTGTGGTGAACTACTAACAAGGGTTTCCGACCCATCTTAATTTACTAACACATTAAAGTACCAGTAGTATTGACATTGCTTGACAAGTGTCAATTACCTTGATTATTAGAAACCGGGACTTTTGTTATAAAGTCATGAATTAGACAATAATTGCTGCCTTATTCCATTAGGTTAATAAATTTATGCACAACGCGGACTTTGTATGCACATATGTAACAATAATAAAGCACCAGTAAGCGCTTGTACCATACCCTGATAATAAGGGATTAGATAAAGAGAAGATAATAATAACATGCTCACTCCTGCTCAGAACGGGTAACTTATTGTACAACTATTCCACAATTATGTGATTAAAGTTAACAACTTTGCACTTGTCGTGCTACACAAAGCTCTGTTTATCATTAAGATATTATAAAAGTTAGAGGATCCCTCATTATAGCCTGTAACTGAGTAATATTATATAAGTGATTGGTAGAGGGCCGTTACAACCGGCTAACATCGCCGCTCCATAACCAGTTCAATAACATATGCTACTGTATGCTGCGCGATAACCCCGGCTCACTAATCAAAATTAAGGCTCATATTTCGATCACTGTAACTCTTTCTGATCAAGTGATCCAGGCACAGGTACTGGAGTGTGCTGTGTTACATTCTAAAAATGGAGGGACCTTTCAACCGAGTGTTACAAAAAACGCGGCAGCGGTATAAAAACTTGTATTTCCCGAACAGTACATTCTTTGTGGAGTGTCCTAAAGGTGGTGTGGATACAAGCTTTTTGGTTTTGATCGCACTTCCGCACATGTCAGAAGAATGAGATTGTTTTGTTTAAAGAAATGTGAGTTAGGTAAACTGTAAGGCGGGAAAGGTCAAAGGGAGGAAGCTTAGGAAATTGTTTATGTTTAACAGCATTGTCTTTTGAAGCAGTGGATTAGATTAGATCCCTGGATCATAGTAAAACAGTTCATACACTACTACTACTATACTACTACTACTATACTACTATGTACTACTATACTACTATTCGTATACTAACAAATTTCTGTTTATATGTATATCAGGATTGTCACAACAAATCAGCCTCAAATCAGCCTCTAATCAAATTGAATTCTTATAGGTGACCTATTTAGTCACAAATTTCGCAAATTTTTAGTCTACAACAATTTTAGTCACATTTTTCGACTTTTCGAGACCATTTTTCCATTCCATTTTCCTTAAGAACGACAAATTTAGTCTACCCCGTCTGAGCATTACAGATTAAGCTGCAATGCATTACTCAGGAATTTCAATAACATCAGATCCAGATTTTGTGACTCTGTATCACTAAGTTCTTCAGTACACTCACTGTTCAGTTTCTTTTTCACCCTTTTTCGACTTTACCATTTTTGTCGGAACGACGTAGTTTATGTCGATATGATCCATCAGCCGTTTCAACAGAGCATGTATTGGGAGGAGCTCTAACCCTTTAAATACAATAGGAATTTGGTACGGTTTTGTGCAGTAGGAACGGTGATGTCTGAGTTGAGACACAGTTGATAAACTGCGGAGTGACTAAAATGCTATACAGCAAAAAACAGAACGCTCCAACCAAACACTCCACCTACTGATCCTAACCACCCTAACAACTCTCTAGCTCTCTCGCTTCAACCCTCATTCCCTCATTCCTCTTGGTGCACAAAACCATTCTAACCTATGTATGTCCCCCCTACGGGTTCCACAAGCCCAACGGTACATAGTTAGACGAAAAACAGAGAAGCCTTGATTGCCAGATCAAGGACTGCATCAGTAGCAGCGAAATACGGATATACCTTCTCCCTTACAGTCAGCGAGCTGACAACTATCTGACTGTGTCTTTTAGGCCTTGCCACACCACCTTCGCTATTGCATCCGCTCGCCCGTATTCACTAACACATACCACACCTGGGTTTAGTATGAAGATGTACGCATATTCACCCAAGATGCGGAGATGCCTCAGTTTAGCGAGTTGAGATACAACAGCAAACTCACAGGAGCATGGATCAGAATCATCAGTTACCAACCTGACACCGTTTCGGGGCTTTAATCGCAATACGGTTTCCTGTCAGTCGCCCCAGCAGTCCACTCTTGAACCACCATCTGATCCGAGAGTCACTTGAGGAGACCCGTTAGAGCTCGCAATTGGCGACGAGATAACGTTTATGGTACCTCTAGATGTTATAGTGAACTCTCAAGCTCCAACCTTCCTGAACTCCCACTCCCTCTTTCTCGATAACAAGTAAATCCACCTGGAACAGTGGGCTGCCTCTTTCCCGCTGTCCCGTACCAGCTTCTTCACCTCTCTTTCCCTAAAACCAATCCTCCTCGCAGCTCTCTCCAAACTCTGCGCAACAACTCCCCTAGCTCCAACTTCGACTGCGGCATTATAACAGCACCAACCTTTCGCCTGAATCTCAGCCTGCAGACCGCTGTATCGGTCGAGCTTGTACTCGTGCGATTCAGCGATCCGCTCTTCAGATGGTACTGTTAGCTCCCACCAAATAACTGTCTTTGCCGACCTTGAGAATATCACAAGGTCCGGCCTCAGCCGTGTTTCCACAATCTCACTGGGAAACTTAAGCTGCCCCTCAAGGTCTGACAGCACTATCCAATCCCGATACCCACTCAGGATCCCAAAACCACGACTCTCTTTCCGGTCGTCTGTACCTGCTTTTCTTTTCCCAGCAGGAACAAAATCAATGAACTGCCTTCCATCGCCGGCCTTGTTCTTATAAGTGTTCACTCGGCGATCACAATGGAAGACAACATGTTCAGAGATCTGCTTCAGAACCTTGTCGTGCCGCCATCTATACCTTCCTTGACTAAGGGCCACCTTACACCCAGCCAAAATGTGCTGAATGGTGCCCATCCTCTCCTCACATAACTTGCACTTCCCATCCTCATCTTCACTCCACTTGGAAACCATAGAGGGAGTTAAGAGGGTGCCGTACACAGCACTTAGCATGAACCCAATAAGTGAGTCACCATACTTAAAAAGTGTATGCCAGCTCAAATCCGTCTTCATTACGAGCTCTCTCCACTCACCCCACCTGCTCTGCATCTCCAGAGAACCTACTTGCACCTCCCTCTCTCTTTCAATGTTCTCCTTCACACTAAACAATGTTAGCTTAATAATATTCATGTCATATTTGCTCTACTAAAATTTTGGTCTGCTTTAAAATTAGTCGCCGAAAAATTTAATCTCATGACATTTGGTTTAAAACAATTTAAGTCAAAAGTTTGAATAAATTTATGGTAGACTAAATTTGTCGTTCATAAGATATGAACTATTATACTACTATTCGTATACTAACAAATTTCTGTTTATGCATGTATGTATATCAGGATTGTCACCAACAAACATCAGCTTCTAATCAAATTGAATTCCTATAGGTGACCTAGATGAAACCGACAGTGCCGCCATGGTGTCATCTCTTCGGGATCCGGATGTATGACCAGGGATACTTTTTATTTTATCAGTATTGGCCCCCCCCCCCCCATCTGTAAACCTGAACTGTACTACAGCTGGTCAGGCCGCTTAAACTTGTCTCTTCTTCTCACAAGGTGGCATATAACTCAACTCTTAATTACAAGGCAGATATTGACATTTCCTTATGAAGAGGAGCCGAGTGAGATGATAACTTTGCAAAGCTACACATGTTAATCGTTATAATAACTTTGCAGAGGGAGGAGAGAAAGAGGAAATACATGACACGTGTTCTGTAATTGGTGACCAGTCTAAACGTACCTGTTCTTTTACACTACACTATACCAGATCTGCATGTCTTTTAAACAGTTAACTGTTTAGTTCACAAAATTCTCATCATAAATCAGAACAATTTAATATAATGTTTAGCTGTGGCAAAATGATTCATTTCCGCTTATCAGGCACGTTTCTAAGGGAATTCCAGTGAAATAATTCATTCTGGGAAAATATAGTACAGTAGCAGTTAAATTACTTTCCACTAATGTACTAGAACATTGATCAAAACCTTAAAACTACGCACAAAAAATCTTTTTAACGTTTTTTAAAGATTAAGAAGAAATCCCTCTTTAATAAGAAGATCTTTAGTAAGATAAGCACACAATACAGCAAGTTATTGCTAATTGCACATAACCGAGAAAAGAGAAGATATTAATTATGATAATTATTGCTGAACAATGGACTCTAAGTTAAGGTTTCACTTTTCTAATTTCTAAATATACTGTTCCGTCATTAACAGAACAATTAGTATGTGATTTGTCAGGTTACAACTACACCACGGGCAGGATCATCATCTCCCACAGGACCAGCCATTAGAATGTACATTATTACACTGTACTTATCTAATTATATAATAAAGTAACTCTCGGTGGTTCTGGTGTCCCAGACAGGTGACTAATTGTACGCACGTGTAACCAATCACACGCCTCAAATTGATTGAAATCCAGATTGTAAATTAATATGTCAACTCTGGGGGTTCTAACATTCCTCCACAAATATCTCTCCAATTTGGAGGGTTGTAAAATACCTGGATGTCAATACCTGGAGATTGTTGTGTCCCGTATGATCCAGACGGTAAACCTAATGAACAGTGAGGACCTGAGCATTGCAAGCAATTAACAATCAACATAACAAAGATGAGCCAAGTGATTAACATCGCCGAATGAACAAAGGACCTTGCAGGACCTGGGAGCAGTCGGGATTGTCTGTTGAGTATTCAGCAGCGTCTAATGTTAACCAGATACCAATATACCATGATTATATATGGGAGCTATGTATTACAATAAAATGCGTATAATAACCTGCCGGGTATTGGGTAATAACATGAGCCTGCCAAATCGTCAGTTACATCAACAGCTAATAATATAATAATCCTAACTTTGAAGGAGGAATTCGATGTCTGTCAATTTTAGTCTTCAGATTCATTTTAAAGGATTAACATATTTAAAATATCGTTGACACCTGACCGTCGGAATTCTGCACAAACACATTTGGTGTGTATGAAAGCATCAATTAGCGCTGTAAATTGCCCCACAGGTCCCTCTAAAATTGTCTGTGAACTTGTTATAAATAAAGGACCGGGCATGTTCAGTTATACAGGCTCACTGCTCACCTTCAGATCGTATAATACATTCACACCTGATCAGCGAGCTAGGTTAAATTTTACATTGTACAAAACCACCTAGAAGAGTATATAGTTGCCGATATTCCGATGAAACGTTAAAAATGTGGTATTTTCCTCCGGTTTTAAGAATGTGCAGAATCTGGCAAACATATGACATACTTCTGACAAATTATTGTCAACAACAATGATGGTCTTTATTCCCTTGATAGATGAATTTCATGGTGTTCTGAACATTTAAGGCTTCGCTTGCACTTAAAGTTTTCGTCGTAAGACAAATTTATCATTTTGTATGGTCCACTCACTAATCCCCATCATTACAGGGGGAAGTCCTAGAGCTTTGGTATTTAATCACAAATTCGAATGAAAATGTAAAAACGTAAAATTATTTTCAACTGCATTGATGGACAATCCAGGTAAATAATCAGTTAATTATCTACCACTCACGTTGGTAATTATTGGGCCCGAGCACTTGTTCCCCGTAACTCGATTCTTTGGCTCACAGTCGTTAATCCTGACGCACGTGTTGATTGTCCGGCACCACGTGCAGCCGTAGCGCGCCTCCAGTCCTAGTCCTATACACGCGCTGCAATCCTGGACGTCTTCACAACTGTAGAGCACCACTGAGGGAAAAGAAGGTTAGGAATATTCAATATTACGATATTTTGTATGGCCTAAATCGAGACTTGGTGAGAGTTTAAACACGTTTTGTGACATAACGTGACACTCTTGTCAGTGACATCTCGTGTGCCACTCTTGTTTGTCAACCTATCCAAACCTTTATAATTAGCTTTATAATAGCACCAAGTACCAACGAAATTTTCCTGCTCTAAAAAACTAAAATTGCGTACTGTATCATACTACAAATCTATTACATTTATTGAGTATTATGTAACGCGATGGAAATATTTTAAGCGGGTAATATCCTGTCCAAACCGAGGATACATAACATGAATACTTTGTTGTAACTTTGTATGAAAAGCATTAATAAACAAAAGTAGAAACTGCTGCCCCATTAACCCTATACTACCTCATGCAACTTTATAATCGGTCATTTATTCATTCATGACCGGTTTGTTGCCAGTAGCTAGTTTTCGGGGTAAAATTCCCAGCTACAAGTACAACCTGTCCTTACAGTTGGGGAATCAAGTTTACATAATGCTGTTTAGAGTAATGTTAATCTTCTGCAATCTTGTTGCAGCGCACAATTACCCACCAGATCCACTACCGATGTTAGCAGTTAGTAACCTTAGCACTATTGGCTCATTACCTCCCCATTACCCCTCCATTACCCCTCCATTTAACCAATTACACCCGGCATCCCCGGAATTCCACATTTACCATTGGTAAACACTGCTAGCCCGGGGGAGGCAACTGTTTCCCTTGCAACTGGAAATGAGTTCATGTCATTGCTCCCATACCAGCTAAAGAGGTCTAGTAGGTTCTTTCAGCAAGTCATTGTACTGTTATATTAGGCGTTGTGAACAAGTCGTTATTATTGTATTATTAAGCTTTTAAAACCGAATACCGCCGGTAAGCATATCTCCAAGACATATTATATCCAAATATGTAATTGTTCATGCTGTGATTTATCGAGCCTAAATTCCAGAGCAAACACTCAAATTTATGTGTATAATATTTGAAATGTAATCATACCACTGAGCGTTAATTACGTATAAAGTAAGCATACTAGCGTCTCCCCAAATATAGCATTAGATTTCTAGCGGTCTCCCCAAAGACACAGGCTTGAAAGACTAAAGAGACCGTCAAGTTTAAATAGAGTCTATTCAGTGAGGAGCCAGATAAACGGGTACTCTCCACTTTCCAGGCTCCTGTGTGTCGTTTAGTCTGCCCTGGAGACTCACATTATATACCCACACTGTTGTATACAAACAGTCATACTCTTATGTAACTAGTGCGGACTCCCAAATAGTTACCAAGTTACCTGGTTACACGCTAGTTACCTGGTTACACGTCTTGTAGACTACTACAGACTACTAAAGCATCATTACAGAGGACATTTCATTAAATACACCTTCTATAACGTACCATTTGAACTAAATCCATTATCAGGTCCGGCTCGATCAGTGTCTTTAGCTTCTGGATCCATTACAATAAGGGAACGTGGGGTAAGGTTTGTATATTGGACCCCCCAGGAGAGTGGCAGGTGTACCCCCTCCCCCCTGGAGAGTGGCAGGTGTACCCCCCCCCCCATCCTTGATACCCTCTATTTCATAAACTCTCAATCTCAGACTTTTCAAAATAACTTTTCAAATAACCCCCGTTCAGTGAGTGAGCTAATTGTCACTCCGTGTAATATCAGTGCACTGTGTTTATTATACGGCTCGTCTGCAGACAGCCGTAGGTTTTAATTAATCAAATGACTAGAGAGCTCAGGATATAATAAGTTAATTAATTAAACGGTCCTCGTGACATAGGTGGCAGTTGTTTCTCCAATTGGTAAAGTTAGAACAGAGTTTGGATAGATTGCTTTGTACTGAAATTACTAGACAGAGGTTGCGATAGCAGATATCTCAGCACAAATAATGGACTTATTGAACATTGAACACTGGCTGTGTGAAGAATCAGATTTGACTTGCTTGAGTCAAAATTGACCGAGAGATCAAAATTGACCGGGAGTCAATTTTCATTTCTATAATTTAGTTAAGATGGTCAGGTGGATTTTTATTTTTTCATGTGAAATTAATCAAACAGCCACCTGGGATTCTGCAATAATGTGAAATTCCGCCTGAAAAGGAAATCTGAAAATGTCCCGCAGTCGAAACCTCCCCTCTTCCAACGAACCGAAAGTTAAAGTTCAAACACGACAGTTCTTTGAGCACTATTAAAATGTCATTCAGGTAATCGTTCAGATGTCCAAAAAGGATACCTTCATACTAAATAGTTCCTGGTACCTTGCGAAAACAAGGACGGTTCACTTTGTCGTATCCTTTCTTTATTCAACTACTCAACGTGACACCCACAATGACTATAATTCTCACAATTTGGATTCCTATCTAGAAAGTAGATCGGTGGGCCAACATTTCGCAAAATTAACATTTTGTAAAATGCTAAGATGTTGGTTAATGGATGAGAAAACATGTTCTTTTATCGCATTATACCATTTGAGTGGGTTGTTATAACCTGGTTATGTTAGTAACTAGGGCGCCACACTCAGATCACCGCCCAATTAGAGCTCATAACAAACAACTCTTAAACAGCACAACACAGGAAAGTTCCAGTCATTTCCGATGAAAATAGTATCCAAGCCGTGCATCATTCTTTATCTGTATTATTAAGCTGTGCCAATTTATTAAGAGGTAAAGTTTTGCCTATTGGGTTGCTATCATATCAAATCATGGACTAGATCCGAATTTTCACCAGATATCATGATTATTCATTATATTGGGCAGTATTCTGGTAATAACAAACACTGGCCTCGTTTAATACCCAGATTTACCGACCCAAATAAGGACCATTATGCACGCGACTAACTGCGCTATACAGTAGCTTCTAGACATTTGATTAGCTAATAGCTACTGGATTTACTGGTCACTGGTCTCTGCCTACTGGCAGGTGTCTCGATTATGGGATTACATGACCACGCATTCTCACTAGACAGAGGGCAGTTGAGCTTTTATACTGATTACTGACTAATAGAGTGAGTCTGCGAATTATTATTAAAATTGCTATCACAATCGCTCTTAAAATTAGCTCATAGGAATAAATAATAAATTGTAGTCGTCTAGAAATAGCAATTACAGGGTTAACCATGAATACACAAGTTGGGTAGTAGGCGGGACTAACATTCAGTGTGATAGCTAGATGTTAGTCGGTATAATACACCTTAACGGGGCAGTATTATCTTTTTCAGCAAATCACTGATTAAATAACCAAGTGTGAGGAGGTTTGAAAAGTGTACTCACATTTGGCACTATCAGAAGGGTTGTATATCTGAACACCCTTGTATGTAACGACAATTGGTAGGGACCTCGGAACGGCGGTTATGTTCATACTCGTCTGCAAATATGTGTATTAGTTAATCAGTTAGTAAGTAAGTTAGTTCGTGTGCAACCTTATCTAATGTTTTAGAGTGACTCAGTTGGACTAGCAGCAGGGCTATAAAACGAGAATCATAGAGATGATTACAGCCTCTTACGTCACATATATTCTAATTATTAACTTATAAATAACAAACCAAGGGGACAGTGCACTTAATACTCTGGTCATCATCAGAAGCAACTGAAGGGTTCGCTGCAGCGCTGATCTCCCCCGCAAAGTCTGTCTGTATCACGCACTTGTAGTCACCTTCAGTGGACATCTGCGGGAGAAGGAGGAGTTAGAAACGGGAAAGGAGGGATTTGTCTCCTTATATTAAGGAGGCAGGTGTAACTGGATGCGTTCGGTTTTTTTGTGAACTGAGAGTGTGAAAGTTGATTTTCAACTGTCACTTGTCAGACTAATATTATGACCTCATGTCACAGTGACACTAATACAGCGCGGGTACACTATTATAAAACTACTTTAAAATTATGATATCCCAACGAGGAGCAGATTCTTAAGGCCACAGGGGGGGGGGGGGGGGTCCGAGGCCAACAAATTTTTTTCGCCCCAGTTGGCAGACCACGTACTACCTGACGCTCCCACACCACCCCTAGCCCCCCAGAGCGCCTAGTTTGTCGAAAAACTCACAACTAACTAGTTCTTAACATTTTGTTGCTCTCATCTTAAGTTAAACTTATCCATGGGTACCAATTGGCCGTCCAGCGTTTAACATCTATCTTCTCCTAGAGCTTTCATCCGTTTCATATCAGCTCAAATTTGGAACACATGTTTCTGAGATAGTCACAGTCAGAAAATATGAGGCGATTTTTAAAATTTTGCTTCTAACTCTTTTTATGAGGTTAACTGTCGAAAATTGTCGAAAATATCGTGACGCGCACTCATTGTTAACCTCATGTCTCAGCTTGCGCTTAGTAGCAAAATATCAAAACACTTTTGCCAAGTTACAAGGTCCCATGATTAGATGTAAACTGTAAAAGAAGATAGATTTCTGCCAAAACCTTATTTGAAGTTTTCATTTACAATAGATTTACAGGTAAACCTCAAAATTTGACGCGCGATATCTACAGATGGGAAACTTTTTTTCGTTCAGGACAAAAGCATTTCAAAATTTAGATCGAGCTCTACAACATATCTCAAAAATGACCTCGGACCCCCCCCCCCCCCCCCCTGTAGCCTTAAATCTAATTTAGTTATACATGACATGATGTGATACACTCTGACAACAGGTGTTAGAGTGTATCACGTTTCTCATACTTGCAGCAATCCTTCTCCAATTACTGCATTTTCATAACCCAACTTGAAATGTCCTGGTTGAAACTCCGAAATTGGAATTCACTAAATTTGGCGGGAAATTAGCTCCAGTTCTGGCATAAAAAATGGTCACGGTCGATTCTTGCTGATGCAAATTTAACTCAATAACAAGGCACACATCTTAAATCTGAATTCATATTATTAACCCACGCTATACCCACTTACCGGTATGTTGCTGGCTTTCAGAGTTAAACTACCATCACTTTTTTTCTCCATAGTATATTCCTGGGCGACTAGAGAAGGACACTGGTTGTCTTCCTGAAACACAAGGAAATATTATAATTTATTGTATTAATATATCAAGAACTCTTGCGATAGTGTGTAACTGAACATTCCACAATTGCCTTAGCTAACGTAATGAAAGGCCGGATATATGAGAGTTAAATGAAAGCTACATATTCGTATCGATTTAGCCTCGACGAAACAAGTATGATTTACGTGTCGCCAGTCTTCGAAAATTCTTTAGTTTCTCTCATTTTTCTCTCATTGGTCAGTCATTTAGACGAAAAGGTTGCTTAACAACCGAAATATAATGAGTACTTATATATAGATTTTATAAATTCAAGAGAAAACGTCTATCAGAGCCGTGTTCTGAGTATCTTGCTGAAAAGTCTAGGAGTTACAGCAAGGTACGAGGAATACAATACCAGGTCACCTGACTTGATGAGTGCTTTATTTAGCTTCATTTAAAGTTGAACAATGTAACCTACCAAAACGATACATTAGAGTTAGCTAAATTATTTGCCACGCAGTAATCTTAAACACTTGGACGAGAAAGTGGCATTTAGAGGCTACCCGGATAACAATAGCTCAGTGTTACCTTGACTGTGACTGAGGGAAAAAGCTTGGAAATTACAACATTTAAACATCTGTAGTATAATTATATAGTGTTATATAGCATAATCTTGTAGCAATCTGGCAAGGAGGAGGATTATCGGTGCAGCGGATTTTCAGCGAAGATAAATTACTGTCTTGAGTTGGATATTGGTTGATGAGCTAGATTTATCATATGCTGCAAGAAATCATGTAGTTCCAGCTGTAAGCTTAAGGCATTCATTTTTTTTCTTCAAAAATATTAGAAATCTAATTATATATATGTATAATGCGATTTTAATAGCGGTTTATTTCAAGTAATCATAAGTTACAGCTGGGTTGGTTTATTGATAAAAGATGCTTGAGCAAGCTCGCTGATTGCGATGCAGATGGTTCTTACTTCTATTTTTATTTCAACTATTTCAGAGTCCTCGTCCTAAAATATTGGATTATTGAAAATCAAATTGTAAAACAAGAACATTTCATTGATCGACAATTAACCAATTAACAATTTCCGGGTTAAGGCTACTAAATAATCTAAATGCTGATTAGAAAGGATATTAGCCTACTAAATTACTCACACTGGCAATCTCAACATTTGATCCACATTTCTCCGTCGTCTGTTGGCATGTATTGATGTTTTTACACCATTTACAGGCAAACTGGGACGTTGTGCAGTCGTAACAACTGAAATATAGAAAAAATATGTCATTTCCTGACCAGTACCTAGATCTATTATAAAGACACACTTAACGGTTAACCACTTAGCCAGTATTTAGCCAGTAGTTAGCCAGTATGTTGGTAACAACTCTAGTTAACAGTCCAGTCTCTTTAAGAAGACATCCCTCTCTACACGTGTATTTCTAAATAGATCTGTAAAATTTAAACATCAACATATTTTCCAGCGTTAAAAAGTAGTAATTTAACTTTTTAAAGATATCAGGATTGTTTGATTCAGGAAGTGCTATTACCAGCGCCTACAAGATTAAGAGAATACAATTTAGCCACAAATACTGGCTACTAAATATCTCATTATCATTGTATAAACACACATATCTCCGTTTCAAAGAACTTGGATTAGCGAGACGAACGATCTGACGTCAATTCAACATGCTAATATTATGAAGGAGAAACCTTGCTTTATGACCGTGATAATCTTGTAATAACCAAACTTAAATATTCAAAATAGCCTCACTCGCTGTAAAATTAACTCCATGGCAGATCCCAAGAACTTTTGTAATTTTGCTTTGATCTGGCCTGGTTCGGTATTTGGCTTATTTCGAGTCAGAAATCAGGTACGATGCGGTTCAGCTACCGAACTAATCTTTCAGATCCGGCAATAAAAATGCGATCCAGTCCATTCCTCATATTCTATAAGTCTATTCCTTATTCAAACTTAAAATTAGCTAATTAGCTAAATTACAAAACAGATTACAAACACTTGAAACAAACGCAAATCTATAACTTGCAATATTCACAAAATGTAACCCAGTTGTCACACTCATATGTTATACAAGTCACACATGTTAGTGAAACGTTTGGAATTATTCTAGAAATTTATAGCGACTTTTAGCTATAAGGTACAGAACATTAAACACATTAAAGGTAATTGTGGGTGTGTCGCGTGCAGCAGAAAACTTGATTTTCTTGCTTTTTGTTCGTACTTATTTTAAAACTTACTTACTCCTGCTACTAATCACAAAGTGCATCATTCCCCACTCATACAGTCAGCTGAACATATAATCTACGCTTGCTATTAATGAACCACTGTTCTCGCACACAATCATCAATATTAATATATAATGAAGTGGTGGTCTAGAATATATATTCTTAAATACACATACAGTACACTTAAATAGTTCTCTCTCGAGCTGGCTCAGTTCAGTAAGCTCATCCTTAAAAATGCCAGGGTGAGGTCACGACAAGTAGCACACACGACAACCGCAAAAACTTTAAAACTGTAAAAGACTCGCAGGTAAATTGTGTCCGTGCTCTTCATGAGAAGTGGTGAGAGAAGGACCATGATGTCGGGCCAACTTTAAGTATGATTGAAGGTAACGTTTTGTTGTGAAAATCTAGTCAATTGTTTGAGTGCTGGTGTATTGTGCCACCCTGGTCAGAGTGCTGGTGAATTGTGCCACCATGGTCTGTGCTTCAGGGAAACAAGAGACTAAATGTCAAGCTGTGAGACAGCTGTTTGTAGTGCGGTGCGGATCAACTCTCTGATCTGTATAACCTATTGTTTTCTCTCCTCTCTGAGAAAGAAATCAAAAGGTGAGATAATATGCAGGAACTTACAGTTTGTTGTTTTTACAGTAGTAGAGCGGAAAGTTGTCGAATATGGTCATGAAAGGGTTAGGTTCTCCTTTTACCCGTATCTTGACTGTTACCAGCACGCTATCTGAGAAAGTGTTAAATTGAGAAACTTACTTTAGGGGTCATTCATAATAACTAAGTATTTCTTAAGTAAATACTCGCTAGTAATTACTTAGATTTTTCTGAGTCTCAAAATCGGTATTCACAAAGTTTGAGCATTTACTGCCCAGTAAAAACTAATACTCAAGCTGAATTCATCGTGAGTATGACTTACATTCAAGTAAATACTCACTAAAATGCTCTCAAACTAGCACTCAAATACTCAAATCAGTATTTTAAGAAGCACGCCAGGTTAATTCAGATCTTTTGTTTGCCATCTTATGTTAATGGGAAAACACCCAAATTCGGATGTACATCGATGTATCGAAGGAATGTGAAATAAACATTTTCGAGGGAAATTTGTGTCGAGTACATTCGACATTCGCACATCACGTACCGCATATGTCTGTGATGAAATTTGTGATATCGCAATCTTGAAATGGCGGCAAAATGATAACACCCTCGACTCCGAAGATAATTCAGAATCATTCTTGATATCTATAATGAATGTTTCGTGTGCGATATTGTGTCCCCTACAGGTAATTTCACGTCCCTTTTACAGTGGTTTACCGTGATTTACTGTAGTTTTCTTTTATCCACGGTAGTTTCCCGAAACCCACCGTAGTTTTACTGTGGTTTGCCGTCAATTTCTCAAACTTTATTAAATACATATCGATGGAAATATCAATATATACTCAGAATGTTACATCGGTTTTC